TGCGTGCGTGCGTGCGTGCGTGCGTGCGTGCGTGCGTGCGTGGGTGTGTGTGTGTGTGTGTGTGTGTGTGTGTGCGTGTGCGTGTGCGTGTGCGTGTGCGTGTGCGTGTGCGTGTGCGTGTGCGTGTGCGTGTGCGTGTGCGTGTGCGTGTGTGTGTGTGTGCGGTGTGCTCTGCCCAACATTCTGCTGGATTAAGAAAAGCTACAATCAAATCAAACGCCTGTCGTATGTCCCCTGCGAGCAACAAGTGTTCACCATGATGCTGAGGTCTCAATGCGGCCTTTGCTGACTGCCTCAGGATGATTGCCACTTCACCAACGACTTGGATTGTTTATTGCGTCCAGCCGAGGACTTGTTTCAGGCACTCAATGATACACCATCCGGCTTTCAAGCCTCTTGAGTGGCAAGCAAGAGGAAGTCTATCTTCACCAGAAGTCCCTTCGACTCCAAATTGGAATGCGCTGCGAAAGCTCATGGGTTAGTTCGCCGTTTAAGATGGTTTGGACCGGATTTGTGCTGCGCCGGGTTCCCAGCATGGCAAGGCATGGGATGTTGTTGTTTTTTTTTGTGTTTTTTGTTTTTGTTTCCGCTGTAAGGATGAGTGACCGGTGCAATTTGCCAATCCTGAGATGCGGTCACCCCAAATGTCCGAAGCTGCGGCACTCGCGAGTCCAGAACAGGAGCGGGTGGAAGGGGGGGGAGGGGGTCCGAAGCCCAATTGAACTGTTGGGTTAGAGGGGCCACCTTTCTCGAATTCGTTTTGAAGGGGGTGGGTATCTGCTCGAATTGACATTCTCGGTCGAGCCCAGCTTCTTCTCGCCCCGCTTTCCTTCTTTTGTGCGAAAAGCCAAGAACCCTTTCAAACATGGTCAGCATGAGGTCAGAAACCAATTTGGAGGGGTTGATTCTCTCGTTTTAACAAACAGCCTTCAACTCACACAAAAAGGTGACAAAGGGCATTTGGAAGACTATCACTATGTCACTTGTAATTAGCGCCTGGCCTTCATTGTCGGACAACCAAGAACAACGTCCCCCTCAAACACCATCCCAAAAGGGTATCCCATCTAAGTAAAAACTCCTCTGGGTGAACTGTAACAACAATGATAACTGAATACCATTATCAACAACAATGACGATAAATTATTCACCATCCTGAAACAACAAATGCGCCCAGCAAAGCAGTATTGGTGGGTTAGTGCAAACCAAAGACCTCGCTTTCGTGTGCCAAGCGGAGCTCCCCTAATCTGGGTTGTTCAAATTGGTGGGGATCCCCAATCCCCAATCGGCGATCCGAAGCCTGGCACGAGGACAACAAAAGTCACTTCCACCCAAGGATTGAAGATCGCTTGGAACAACCCAGCTTCATCCCTGGAGCCCTTCTGAATCAGGGAGAAGAACCCTTCACGAATTAAACTGGCAAAAACCCCGACGCTTCCTCAGCTGGTCAGTGACCCTGCTAGAAGAAGGGAACCTTTTCTATGTTGACCATTTTTAGAGCCCCTTCCACCGCAAACAAACTGGCGCAATCCACCGAGCAACCCACGTTTATCTCGGGTGTTATTCTTTCAAAGGCGCCACTTTCCCGAAGGAGTTCCCGATGGCTTCCATGAGGCCCACGTTCACCGTGATCACCTGCTGCCCCAAATCCGCCGCCTCCGTGGAGGGATACTTGTAGGTGTAGTAGCAGTACTCGCTAAACTCCACCTCGTTGGTGCCTGAAGTCCGAACAAAATCGGACGACTTACACAAAGTGCCCGACTCGTGGTTGAACATGGAAACGGAGAATTGCTGTGGACCTAGACTTGTCAAAAGGTGACCGACTTTTGCTGGTGGAAAAGGGACATGAAACAAGATGAAGACCAAGGCAAGAAGGTGAAAGGCGATCTAAGTCCGGCCATGTGATATCCGATGTTCCAAAACGTCCGAAAAGGGAAATCGCGGAGGGGTTGAAACTCGTTCGCAATCCAATGAAATGTTTAACGAGCAGCCCAAAACGTCATGTCCTCAAGGAAGTGGAACCCCCTCATTCTAGCATTGGTGTGCTCCTTGTTCATAGCCGTTTCAAAAACCAGCCTGCCCGGGAGGGAGCTGGAGGTCTAACAGCTATTTCTCGAGCGCCAAATATGGGCGAGCCTGTTTTTGAGGGGTATACATTTGTTTGCAGCTTTAAATCGAAACCGCAAGGAAAACCCCAATTCTGGGGCTCCCTCAAAATAAGACAATGCCAAATATGGGTCTTACAATCTTCAGCCGTTTGGCTGCAGCCAAACTCCACCTTTGGATGGTTTCGGACATTTCAAAAAACATTCGCTCTCGGGTTGCAGCTTTCCTTGACCCCCGGAGCAGAGCATGAGCCATGTCAAATGGCTCCAAACCGCACGTTAGGTGCACACAAGCCGGATTTGGTGGGAATGCCGTCCACATTGGTCTTGACTGAGCCATTCGCAAGCACATCTGCAAAAACATTCCGGCTGTGGCTGGTGTGTGTGCGTGTGTGACCCTAAATGCCTCCAACCAAGCCTATAAGCTTAGAAAGCATCAAGCGGGAATTGTTTTTGCCTGAGTTCTGGCGCTGCATGCGATGATTTAAATGACTGTGTGACTGTGTCAGAAAGAGCGACAC